TATATTCAATAAAACTACTGGAACTAATCATATTTATACCCACATACTGTATTTATTATAAAACATACAAAAATAAAATAAAAATTGCATTTTATGACATTTATGGGCGAAGAGGACATCTCAATGTCCTCCTCAGTCATTGGGGAGAACATTGTTTTGAGGGCCCCATGGAGGACCATCCTTACCACGGAGGACGTTCTGGTCACCCTAATTGTTGCATTATAAATGATAATATATTAATTAATATAATAATTTAGTTGATTTAGCTGATTTTAGTTGTGTTCTTAAAATTCAAACTGCCACATGTATACCAAGAATAATTTTAATTAATTAAAGTGAAACCAAAAAATGTATTGACTGTCATTGTCAATAGTGTCATTTTTAGGCAAATAACATTGGCAAGTTGTTTTACTTCAATCATATGATTGCCTAAAAATATTAAGAATTTTTAAAATTCATTTTAATCTCATATTTTGTTTATGATTGATAATGATTATGTTTTAAATGCAACTTGTACTATATGTCATAATTTGATAAAAAAAATAATGGAGTAATATTCTTTAGAATTATCAAAATCGGCGAATATCATGAGCTGGTCCCATAAATCCAGTTATAAACACATTGACATAGTGATTTTAAACATAAAAATAACATTATATCTATGGATGGCACCTCATGAACACTCTAATGGCAATGAACCGTCAAATAACAAACTAAGTGTCGTTAGGTTTACGGATAATATACGGAAAATACGGTTCATGCAATGCCGTCCATAGATATAATGTTATTTATATGTGTAAAATCACTATGTCAATGTGTTTATTACTGGATTAACGGGACCAGCTCATGATATTCGCCGATTTTGATCAATTCAATTTGTCGATAGGGACATATAGTTTGTTTTAATACACATTCTAATTGCACAATTTACTGACAGGTCACAATGTTCCCAACTCAGAGGTCTCAGAGTAGACCGAGAAAGTAGCAAATATCTTTATGTTATTTATAACTCTTTTTTCACTGATAATTAAAGAATATAGAAAAAAATTCTTAAGGTATACATTATTCTAACTTGTTTCTATTAGTTTAGATCAACAATTGCCTCCATATAACTACTATACACATTAATAAATTATAATTTATTAATAATCGTGTACCTGTATATGTCTTGTTTAATTATCGTATATCAAGTAATTTATGTTGAATTGTTAATTTAAGATTAACAATGTTAACAAATATCATAATTCATAGTATTATTAGTTCATAGGAATAATGTTTTTAAAAAATTACAAGTGTTGTAAAATTACTGGCAAACGTTTCATTAAGTATAAATTTTAAATTTCATTATAAGGTTTCTAAATATACAAAAATTATTGCTAAATTATAAACTATTTAGTGAGATTATTTTTTTAAAATTAGGCTTAATAAATTTTATGTGTCATACTAGCTAAATGCATAAATATTTTTTAAAGGGTATTTAATTAAAATAAATTATGCTCAATTATAACCTATACTGCATAAGTTTATTAATGTCATATTACACATGAACCTGCCTTTATTATATATGAATTAAATATTGAATTAAATTTTTAAAAATGATTATTTTATTATTTGTGGTAATATGTGATACTGATTAATCAATTACTATTATAGTAGTTATAAAATATAAGGCCAGTCAGCGAAAAAAAAACCACACGCGTTTCTTAATAATTTTTTAATTATAAATTAATTTTGTTCTAATAAATGAATGTGTCATTTTTACAAATAATTATGAACTATAATAATTAAGTAGAAATTATGTTTCCAATTAAATTTTATTGCAAATAAAATATGTTTTTTTATTCTCATGTAATTCATAAATAGATTTCTTTTGTAAAATTTATAGCACCTGTATTGTTGCTAGGGTGACCAGAAATGTTTGAGCCCCAAGGAGGACATTTGTCATTAATATACTGTTATGGAGAGGAGGACAGATTATTTTCAAATCTGAATTAATTATTTGTCTTAATTTACTTAAATGATGTATATAAATAACAAATACTGATCATATTATGTCAAGATATTTACACAAACGGATTAAATGTTAAATAATTGATTTTATAAAACAACTATATTTATTGAGGCGTGTATGAACTTTATTTGATAACACAATCTTTAAATAATATTGTATCAAAAATAGTATTATATTCAATAAAACTACTGGAACTAATCATATTTATACCCACATACTGTATTTATTATAAAACATACAAAAATAAAATAAAAATTGCATTTTATGACATTTATGGGCGAAGAGGACATCTCAATGTCCTCCTCAGTCATTGGGGAGAACATTGTTTTGAGGGCCCCATGGAGGACCATCCTCACCACGGAGGACGTTCTGGTCACCCTAATTGTTGCATTATAAATGATAATATATTAATTAATATAATAATTTAGTTGATTTAGCAGATTTTAGTTGTGTTCTTAAAATTCAAACTGCCACAGGTATACCAAGAATAATTTTAATTAATTAAAGTGAAACCAAAAAATGTATTGACTGTCATTGTCAATAGTGTCATTTTTTAGGCAAATAACATTGGCATGTTGTTTTACTTGAATCATATGATTGCTTAAAAATACTAATAATTTTTAAAATTCATTTTAATCTCATATTTTGTTTATGATTGATAATGATTATGTTTTAAATGCAACTGGTACTATATGTCATAATTTGATAAAAAAATAATTAAGTAATATTCTTTAGAATTATATGCATTTAAAACATTATAGCATAAAGTTATAATTAAATTGTCAATTACTAATAATTGTCAACACAAACCATTAGCAATGTAAACTAAAAACAAATTAAAATTCTTTATAATTAAACAAATTCTATACCTATAAAATAACTACTGCACACAAACACTAACAATTCATTTATGATAGAAAAGTTAACCATACTGTGTATCATAATATTGAATAATTATTTTGAAAACATTGAAACTATGTCTATGTCTGGCGATGATATAGTGATCAGCGGAATGTCGGGTCGATTCCCGCTGTCGGACAGTGTGGACGAGTTCGCCCGCAATCTCTTCGCTGGTGTCGATCTCATCACCGAAAGCGACAGTCGTTGGCCTAAAGGTATACCTTTTAGTAAAGATTTCACGTTTTAGTTATATATGAATGCAATTACAATGACATGAATCCAAACATATTGTATAGATTTCTGTGACATATCCTCCCGAATGGCACGCATTGAGAGTTACGACAGATTTGACGCCAATTTCTTTGGCCTCACGACAGAAGTGGCCGAAGATATGGACCCACAGAGCCGTATGCTATTGGAGGTCGCATTTGAGGCCATTATGGACTCCGGTATGTCATCTCAATATTGGATAAACTTTACAATTTGAAATGTTTAAATTCTAACTGATAATTATTATAGATAGATAAATTATACAATACAATCATTGAATATATATATATAATAAGCGAACTCTAACTTAAGTTTTTAATATTTGATTTTGTAAAACATGGTCACATTTTGGACTAAAAAATATTGATTAATATAATAACAAATTGCAATACAAAAACCGTGTAATTCATAAATAGCACAAAATGTAGAGTTTGCTAACACACCTATTTTATTACACACAATTATACAAACTTTTAACACATTTTCTCAAAGTTATCCAATGACAGAACTGATCATGGCGTATTTTATATTAGAAATCTTAAATGTAAACTTGTAATAAGGAATTATTTTATTGATTATACGATAGGCATGAATCCACAATTGCTATCCAATAGTAATACCGGTGTTTACATTGGTAATGGAGTGTATAAATTTACGGACGGGTATAATGACTATCCCCACGATGGCCACCTGACACAGTGCACCAATGGCTCGAACAAACAGATTGTGAATATACAATGTTTTCTATCGGAAAACATATCATACTATATGAACCTCAAGGGCCCGTCCATTGTGGTGGACACGGCCTGTTCCTCCAGTCTGAGCGCACTTAACATTGCAATCAATGATTTGTTATTAGGTATCGTACCAGGCTTATTTCTATGAATCATTAAAAGTGATAATAAATTATTAATTCAGGGAAAACGGACCGGGCGATCGTCGGGGGAACTCATATGCTATTCAATCCTATATTTTCGCAATACTTTCAATATATGGGTATATATTCTCCGAGAGGTGTGTCCGCCGTATTGGACGAGTCGGCGGACGGGTATGTGAAAGGGGACGCCGTGTGCTGTCTATTCATACAGCGAGCTAATGATGCGCGCAGAGTGTACGGGCGGGTGGTGTCGGCCCGCATGGGAATGGATGGCTACAAGACTTCCGGCAAACTCTTCCCCTCCAGCGAAGCCCAGGAGGCGCTTATGATAGAGACGTATAAATGTGAAAATATTGATCCCTTAAAACTGACATATTTTGAGGCACATGCGACCGGCACCAAGGTAATTCAGTCTGTGTTCAATTAATAATTATAATTTTCTGAAATATATACAATTTTATCTTTTCATATAAAATATCATTGGCGGTTTATATTCTAATTTAATTAGATTGTTAATTTTAAAAAATATTATTTGCCCAAATGAATGACCCCGGTGTGTATATAGGGGCATACATTAAAAAACGGTGTGGGGGAAACTTGAATAGCTCGCTAACTACAAGTCCGAGACTGAAACGGTAAAAAGTATTATTAAGATCCATTTAATGCAGAACTTTTACACTTAAAATAAATATTATCAAAATGTACAGTAATTGAAATACTGGAATGAACGC